AAATACTTCGTTCAGTTACGTATTGTTCAAAGCCGTAAAAATCTGATACAAAAGTTTCAAAATTAGTTATAAATGTTGCCGACAGGTGGCGCTGTACGTTGTAATCACAGTTCAGATTTCGAGAAGAAAGCTATAAACTGTCATTTGCAAATAATCGTTGCAATCAGATCACAATCGATTCAAAACATGGCATTTTTCGTGCTTGCCAAGGACAGTTTATAGATTTCTTATCGGATTCTGAATAGCTATTACAACCTGCAGCGCCACCTGTCGGCAACATTTATAACTAATTTTGAAACTTTTGTATCAGATTTTTACGGCTTTCAGACTAAGCATATCACTGGTTTCGTTCTTCTATCGATCTCCGTTGCCGAGTTATTTAATTTTAAAATGAGGGAGTCCTTTGTTGGACACCCTGTATCACAAATGAAAAATGAATAGTCTAGTTCTTCAATAAAATTTGAACTATAAAACCTGAGGACAACTTTCTAAAATAATTTATAAAATAAACTTCTATTGGATATAAATATGGTTCGTGATATATGAAAGTTGCTTCATAAAGTTTCTTCGAATATAAACTAAAGCTCAGAATGAGATAGTAAATATTAGTAAACTATATATCCTCTGTTTTGTAAAGCAATAAAAAATCAATTTGGAAAGGGAAAAACATAAAACAAGAATTCAAGCTTTCAGATATATTTGATTTTAAATTTTCTCGAACTTTTTCAGACGTCGAAATCAGACTATAAGCATCGCTCTTGGAAAATTGTTATTTCTGTGTGTGTTCATTTTGTTTCTTTCTCTTTCTTCCAAGCTAGTTCCTTTCATATCTGCAGCTGCTTCTGAAAAGGAAATTGGACTTATGAAAGATATTCCCGGCACTTTTCTTAACGATTGACAAGTACAGTTTCAGAAAATAGTTTGCGAAATTGTTAGGCTGTTTGTGAGAAGGTGACAGTTATTTGACAGTCTGCTTAAGTAAAAATAACCATTGCGAATTCTCTGTCCACCGCATTCTGATCTTTATCAGAACAGAGAAAATTTCCGTCTGCCAATACCCACTGAAAAGAACTACTTCATATTGAGTCATAGTCTAATATTCACCAAAAAACATTTATTAAGGGGACGCATTATCTTCTAAACATTTTTTTATTTGAAGCATTATTGAAAACGTTTTGATAGTATTGAGACTTAAAAATCATATAAAGTGATCTTGAGGAGAAAAATCAGCTTGATCTGCATTTTTAGTCAAAATTTAATTTTTTAAAATCCTTACTACTTTTAAAATATGAATATTTTTGCTTCAAATTTTGTTTATGGATTCATTGAAATATATTACACAAACCTGTGCATGGATTTTAAGGTGTATCTAATATCCGCTTAAATATAGATATTTTACTGAATTATATGGTGAAAAATGGGGAAATTTAGCAGTGCCTCATTTTATATCTTGCATATAAAAGAAAATAAGCAACTGAATGCTTATTGCATGCACCATTTTACCATATACATATCGATTAAATGTGTACAAAAAATTTGAAAGCTTTATCTCGAAAAGGGAAAAATCCTTAGCATTTTGAAAACAAGAAAGTGCAGAAAAGTCCGACGTGGAGGAAAAGCCATTTAAAGTTACGATTTGCGCATGTTTTTCATTTAGTAATCGTAAATAATAATCTAAATAACTTCTGAAATATTAAAGGTAAAAATTTGAAATTTTGATGCAATTTGTAGAACGTTGAGAGCAACGAAATAAGCAATAAAATTAAAATTGTTATTTTGTCCATTTTTTGTGTAATGTGTCCCCTTAAAAATATTGCAAATATTTACTTCTAAAAGTGACAAAAGTTATTCGAGCTTTAGTATGGGTATTAACAATGCTTTACATGAAAATATCATTGGAAAGATAATTTTCGGCAATCTAAGTTGACGGAAAAATTGCATTTTTGTGATAATTAATTTGGAAATTACTAGCGAAAAACTGAGACAGAAAACAAAATTATACTTAATTTTTAAATAATATGAAATTTATTTAAAATGTGGATAAATTTGATCTGAGCTGCACAATTTCGGCATCCAAAATACACCAAAGCCGAATTTGGTAGCTCTAGGTATATTGATTTGTTCTGCAGATCGATACTTGCGAACAGACAGAATTCCTTCCAATACCCCTGCTCATGTAATATTTACATTTGGGTGGGTAAAAAGAATTCCTCCCACATCTGGAATTGAACCCGGGACTGATTGTGCTGCTCAGAGACAAGTATCTTAGAAATTAGACTATATGGGAGATGCATCCATAGACAGACACTCACTTTCAATTTTATTATTATTAGAGTTTTTGCGTTCCCTTCCGCAATTTATGTATCTGTGGTGGCCTAGTGGCAAGGCTTCGCGACCAGAGGGTTTCAGGTTCGGAACCCGATTCCACTGGATAAAGGCCATTTATGTGGTTCTGGAGCGTGTTAAATCTGACGTCGTAGGTCACATGTTCTCCCGCTGGTGTGGGGCGGAAGTTTGGAGGGGAATTGCTAGCTCAGGTGCCATCCTCTTTACCTGACCGCGGTTCAAAATTGCAAGGTCAGACCGAAAATAGCTCTCTTTAAGTTTCAAAATGGGGAGTTAATATAACAAAAAACATATAAAATCACACAAATACACAAAATATCACACAAAACATAAAAAACACACATATTTCGTACAAGTAACAAAGCAAAAGGGTCTGATCCAAATATATATGTATATAAAAAATGAATTCTAAATATAGGGAAAAAAAATAAAAGTAATAAGAAAATAAATGTAAATGCAAACATACACAAAATTTATAGTCTATATAAATGTGGGGGGAAATGCTGTCGATAAATTCACAAAATGATGCAAAACATGTTTTGTTCTGGACAGAAGTAGAGAAAGATGGAAGCCATGCTAAATTGTTCTTCTTTAGACTGTTGATGAAAAAAAATTTTGCGGGAGTGATTTTAGAACAAGAAAGAATTAAGTTACACTATTGGCATAATTTGAGGAAGAACCGAAAGAATGCTTCAGACGACAAATGGAAGTAGGATCAGTAATGGTTTGGACACCTTTTCTCATGACGGATTGTACGATTGACAGCGTATGGGATCTGAACGAGATAGAGGTATGCTATATGATCATCTTACACCGTTTGGGACTTTATTAGGTAGAGGTAACTTGATATTTCAGCAGGAACCTGCCTCTTTGCATACTTCTAAATCCACGCAGAAAAGGTTTCAGAAATAAAAAGTTAACATATCACCATGGCCAAGAGGAAGTCCAGACTTTAACCCCGTAGAATATCTTTGGGTAATATCATGAGAAAAATTAGAATAAATTTAAAATGGAATCTTAACTTTAACTTTAAACAAGAATAACAAAAAAAAAATTATTTATAAACAATAAAATTTAGAAAAAAAATTAAATAAAATATATACAATGTTTAAGTAGCTCGCAATTGCAGCAGCAAAACAAAAAACAGAGAACAATGGAAATCAAGTTCATACAAAGAAAGTCAACAAACAAAATAAACTCAGAGGTAATCGAATAAAAATTCGACCAAAAGCAAACAGGGAATCCATTCTAGTCCATTTTTTCAATGGCTAAGAACTTTATTCGAAATGGATTTAAAATAATAATTGGGAATTTTTTCTGTAAGAAGCTAGCATTACGCCAAACATAGCTTCTCTTAGCCCGAAATTTCCCAAACAAAGCACAAAGGAGATCTGTACACCAAAAAGCATATTTTCAAAATAACGAGGAAAAACACAAGCATCAAAACGCTAATAAGAATGATTAAAATTATCAGCCATCTGGCTATATTAAAAATAGCCTCCATAAATAAAAATTTACCCTATAACCTATTACCCGCAATATATATATGCTAATAATCAGTTTTCATCTGCCAATTAACTGGAAGTAGTCTTTATAAAAGAATGGCCAAATGTTTCTGCAATGGAACTTAACCACCTGGTCATCCTAGTGAAAAACAGTGTTTAAGGTTCTCAGGAAAAATGGAGGACCAATATCATATTAATTTTTATACTTTTGGGGGGCTTTTAGACAAGTGGTCTTATAATTTTTTTAACAGTGTAATTTTCATTTTTTTCTAATATTTTTCTTAACTAAATCATTTATTGTATTATTCAAAAATATCGAAACTTAATTATAATAAATGTGTTATAATATCATAATTCATGTGTTTAATTTATAATTAGGACCTTCATCTTTTCATAATTTCCAAAATTAAAGTGGTATTATAATTTCTTACTGTATGATTAGGGCTGTAACCAGATAACCATCTATTTTGGAATGCTACATAGACATGTATATCAGCTCAAAATCAAAAAAAATATTCATACAAAGAACAATAAATGAAAAAATTTTAAAATTTGCTTAATATAAGTTCTACATTATCAGTGATAAAGTAGACACATTGCTACCTAATATCATAGTAGCGCATCAGATTAGCAATAAATTAAAATATATATTTTTGTGTCAATTAAATAAATAATTCAAAAAATGCAAAATAAAATACAAAGTGTTAATATAAGTTTCATTGTAGTAATTTATATATCTATTATCGTATTTTTGTATTAGATAAATATAGAGATAAGCAGAAAATATACTTTTTTATATAAAGTAACTGTTAAAATTAATCATGTATACGATCAGG